TTATATTGAATTAAGGTATAATAGATGTAAACAATTTCAATAGTTTTCTTTTTCTTCATCACTAAATTTTAAGTTACTTCATCACTAAGAAACTAAGTTAAAAGACTATTACTTAATGACACATATTCCATATACATTTGAAATAATTCAAATTATAACCATATTCACATTGTATTATGGTATAATAGATGTAAACAATTTCAGTATTTTCTTCTTCTCCATCACCAAATTTTAGGTTACTTCATCACTAAGAAACTAAGTTAAAAGACTATTAATTAATGGCACATATTCCATATACATTGGAAATAATTCAAATTATATAATGAGTCTCGATACTATATTTATTCACCATATTCATATTGTATTATAGTATAATAGATGTAAACAATTTAAATATTTTTCTTCTTTTTCATCACCAAATTTTAGGTTACTTCATCATTAAGACACTAAGTTAAAAAACTATTAATTAATTACACATATTCCATATACATTGGAAATAATTCAAATTATGTGTTGAGTCTCGATATTATATTTATTTATCATATTTATATTGTATTAAGGTATAATAGATGTAAACAATTTCAATAGTTTCCTTTTTCTTCATCACCAAATTTTATGTTACTTCGTCACTAAGAAACTAAGTTAAAAGACTATTACTTAATGACACATATTCCATATACATTTGAAATAATTCAAATTATATAATGAGTCTCGATAGTATATTTATTCACCATATTCATATTGTATTATCGTATAATAGATGTAAATAATTTCAGTATTTTCTACTTCTCCATCACCAAATTTTAGGTTACTCCATCACCAAGAAATTATGTTAAAAGACTATTAATTAATGGCACATATTCCATATACATTGGTAATAATTAAAATTATATAATGAGACTCGATAGTATATTCATTCACCATATTCATATTGTATTAAGGTATAATAGATGTAAACAATTTCAATATTTTTCTTCTTCTCCATTACCAAATTTTAGGTTACTTCATCACCAAGAAACAAAGTTAAAAGACTATTAATTAATGGCACACAGTCCTTATACATTGGTAATAATTCAAATTATATAATGAGTCTCGATAGTATATTTATTCACCATATTCACATTGTATTATGGTATAATAGATGTAAACAATTTCAATATTTTTCTTCTTCACAATCACCAAATTTTTGGTTACTTTTTAACCAAGAAAATAAGTTAAAAGACTTATAATTAATGACACATATTCCATATACATTGGAAATAATTCAAATTATATATTGAGTCTCGATAGTACATTTATTCACCATATTTATATTGAATTAAGGTATAATAGATGTAAACAATTTCAATAGTTTTCTTTTTCTTCATCACTAAATTTTAAGTTACTTCATCACTAAGAAACTAAGTTAAAAGACTATTACTTAATGACACATATTCCATATACATTTGAAATAATTCAAATTATAACCATATTCACATTGTATTATGGTATAATAGATGTAAACAATTTCAGTATTTTCTTCTTCTCCATCACCAAATTTTAGGTTACTTCATCACTAAGAAACTAAGTTAAAAGACTATTAATTAATGGCACATATTCCATATACATTGGAAATAATTCAAATTATATAATGAGTCTCGATACTATATTCATTCACCATATTCATATTGTATTATAGTATAATAGATGTAAACAATTTCAATATTTTTCTTCTTTTTCATCACCAAATTTTAGGTTACTTCATCATTAAGACACTAAGTTAAAAAACTATTAATTAATTACACATATTCCATATACATTGGAAATAATTCAAATTATGTGTTGAGTCTCGATATTATATTTATTTATCATATTTATATTGTATTAAGGTATAATAGATGTAAACAATTTCAATAGTTTCCTTTTTCTTCATCACCAAATTTTAGGTTACTTCATCACTAAGAAACTAAGTTAAAAGACTATTACTTAATGACACATATTCCATATACATTTGAAATACTTCAAATTATATAATGAGTCTCGATAGTATATTTATTCACCATATTCATATTGTATTATCGTATAATAGATGTAAATAATTTCAGTATTTTCTACTTCTCCATCACCAAATTTTAGGTTACTCCATCACCAAGAAATTACGTTAAAAGACTATTAATTAATGGCACATATTCCATATACATTGGTAATAATTCAAATTATATAATGAGACTCGATAGTATATTCGTTCACCATATTCATATTTTATTAAGGTATAATAGATGTAAACAATTTTAATATTTTTCTTCTTCTCCATTACCAAATTTTAGGTTACTTCATCACCAAGAAACAAAGTTAAAAGACTATTAATTAATGGCACACATTCCTTATACAATTGTAATAATTCAAATTATATAATGAGTCTTGATAGTATATTTATTCACCATATTCACATTGTATTATGGTATAATAGATGTAAACAATTTCAATATTTTTCTTCTTCACCATCACCAAATTTTTGGTTACTTTTTAACCAAGAAAATAAGTTAAAAGACTTATAATTAATGACACATATTCCATTACATTGGAAATAATTCAAATTATATATTGAGTCTCGATAGTACATTTATTCACCATATTTATATTGAATTAAGGTATAATAGATGTAAACAATTTCAATAGTTTTCTTTTTCTTCATCACTAAATTTTAAGTTACTTCATCACTAAGAAACTAAGTTAAAAGACTATTACTTAATGACACATATTCCATATACATTTGAAATAATTCAAATTATAACCATATTCACATTGTATTATGGTATAATAGATGTAAACAATTTCAGTATTTTCATCTTCTCCATCACCAAATTTTAGGTTACTTCATCACTAAGAAACTAAGTTAAAAGACTATTAATTAATGGCACATATTCCATATACATTGGAAATAATTCAAATTATATAATGAGTCTCAATACTATATTTATTCACCATATTCATATTGTATTATAGTATAATAGATGTAAACAATTTCAATATTTTTCTTCTTTTTCATCACCAAATTTTAGGTTACTTCATCATTAAGACACTAAGTTAAAAAACTATTAATTAATTACACATATTCCTTATACATTGGTAATAATTCAAATTATATAATGAGTCTCGATAGTATATTTATTCACCATATTTATATTGTATTATCGTATAATAGATGTAAACAATTTCAGTATTTTCTACTTCTCCATCACCAAATTTTAGGTTACTCCATCACCAAGAAATTACGTTAAAAGACTATTAATTAATGGCACATATTCCATATACATTGGTAATAATTCAAATTATATAATGAGACTCGATAGTATATTCATTCACGACATTCATATTGTATTAAGGTATAATAGATGTAAACAATTTCAATATTTTTCTTCTTCTCCATTACCAAATTTTAGGTTACTTCATCACCAAGAAACAAAGTTAAAAGACTATTAATTAATGGCACACAGTCCTTATACATTGGTAATAATTCAAATTATATAATGAGTCTCGATAGTATATTTATTCACCATATTCACATTATATTATGGTATAATAGATGTAAACAATTTCAATATTTTTCTTCTTCACCATCACCAAATTTTTGGTTACTTTTTAACCAAGAAAATAAGTTAAAAGACTTATAATTAATGACACATATTCCATATACATTGGAAATAATTCAAATTATATATTGAGTCTCGATAGTACATTTATTCACCATATTTATATTGAATTAAGGTATAATAGATGTAAACAATTTCAATAGTTTTCTTTTTCTTCATCACTAAATTTTAAGTTACTTCATCACTAAGAAACTAAGTTAAAAGACTATTACTTAATGACACATATTCCATATACATTTGAAATAATTCAAATTATAACCATATTCACATTGTATTATGGTATAATAGATGTAAACAATTTCAGTATTTTCTTCTTCTCCATCACCAAATTTTAGGTTACTTCATCACTAAGAAACTAACACTACAACATTTAGGCTCTCCAGCAACAATTGAAAAACGTTGCCAGAACTCTGAAAATCGTTGCCTAAAACAATTGGGGACGTTTTCTAGGCGTCTCCTGTGCGAGCGTTGCCTGTTGTTTGAGGCGACGTTTTTTTATGTTTTTTGGGAACGCTTTTGAAAAACGTTGCCTATAGTAAGGGAATAGGGGACGATTATTTACGGCCTCTGAGACAACGTTTTTTAAGCGTTGCGTTGGCAAATTCGGCTACAATTAACAATCGTTGCCTTAAACCTGAATCAGGAAGATCGTTTTTGAAGTGTAGCCATAGCTTATAGGTTGTTGTTTTATAGTGTCCACATAAAATATACAATTTTGTAATTATTATCAAAATAATATAGTCAATAATAATTGGCTTAAAAAATAATATTGATTATATAACTTAAACCATACATCCATAAAAGTTGTAATATAATAAAATCGAGTTCAAACTTTAATTCAAGATATAGTATATAGAGTACACAAAATGCCTAACGTAACAATATTATTTTTAATACTTTGAAGTATGACCCTAGTAAAATAACTAAAAACATAGTTCAGCAAAAGAACAAAAATCATATTTCAAGTTTAATGCTTTCAACTACAAGCCAAAAAAAAGACATCATCCAACTCATTCATGTTTGTCTTCTAGGAGTAAAGCATCCAGATCGTCCTCTTGAAATTCGTTAGATATGTCATCCTCCATAAATTCTTCATCTACGTCGTCCTCTTGAAATTCACCATCTATATCCTCCTCTTGAAATTCATCATCTAGATCTATGTCGTCCTCTTGAAATTCGTCATCTACGTCGTCCTCTTGAATTTTATCATTTAGGTCGTCCTCTTGAATTTAATCATTTATGTCGCCCTCTTGAATTTCATCATTTATATCGTCTTTTTCAACATCTTCATTGATACATTACTGCATAATAAAATAAAATAAAACACATTAACCATAAGTATTTTTGGTCCAAAGGACAATTAAGACATCAACAAGAATCAACAAGAATTAAACCTCCTGAAAGTAAGTCACTGGAAGATGCACCGATGAATTTTGGACTGCTAGACATTTTACTACAGCTGATGAATTTTCTGTACCAGTTATTTTGGAACCTCGTGCCACCCAATTTAGTTGATGAAAGAGATCCATTTTTAGGATTACTGGTTCTGCTTGAAGCTTTTGCTTTAGGGGTGGGACTTGGAGTCTTTGATTCTTCTGTTTCAGCTGGAAAACTTTTAAGTCTTGGTTCACTATTTGTGTAGGGGTAAGATAAATATTTGCTTCTTTTCCGAAATCGAGATTCAGCACCTGTTACGAAGGGGAAAAAATTGCCCAATGAGTGACTTGTATCCAACCAACATCATGAAATCACAAAATTGTATTTGCAAATTGCATCATATGAAAAGATGCCCAACTAATCACAAACATTCAGCGCATTATATGACAATGAGGAATCAATTATGGAACCCCATCATAATAAGAATAAAACTAAATGATACATAACCAAAACAATGAAGCTTAGGTTAATACACGATGCTCTCTTACACTTCTACACGTGAAACAAATGCCTATAAGGAACTAAATGCATGGATTCACCGTTTAAAATCTATTAACATTCACCGATGGTTGTATAGTATGTGAAATAAATAGGGTAACATAATAAAAGTCTAGTTTTCATATGCCAAAAAGTGTCCGTTCATCATAATCAAATCATGAAATCACTAAATGATATATAAGCTCTAGAGAGTAAGCATTAGTACACTTAAATATCAAACTTGCATGACTATCATTAACACAAGAGACTATGTAATTTAATAGAGTTTTCACAGTGATGTTAAACTTGACACACATCCTTCCTAAAGCAACAATTTATAGCTTGGCTAGTAATAATGCATCGAGACACAAGAGTTCAATAAATCATCAATTATCGAAACATACATTTACAAGCATAGCACAACAGATTGCACAAACGAGATAACCAATTAAATGTGAATAACTTACCCCCTCGAGTTTTCTGGGAAGTGCCCGTCACAGGGGTGTCGTCAGTGTTTTTAGCCCCATATTCACGTCCTGACTCTGACACATCCATAGCCCCAGTCTGATATAAGCAAGCAAACCAGATTCAGAAAAATACTCGGGCAAAGATTATGAAGCGAACATTAACAAAAACTCATAGATTAATTACAAGTGTATGACTTGAGGTATGAGTGCAAATCCAGAATTATCTTCCAAATGCAGAATTGCATGTACAGTGTAAATAGATTTACAAACTTTCATCGATATGAATACATAAAAACAAACCGCTTTATGGAACAATTGAAGTGCAAAGTGAAGCTCTGATCTAGTGCGAAATGAGAGAGGAAATTTGGATGGAATCCCATCCTCAGAGACGCTACAAGAGAAGTTAAAAAACCGAAAATGAAAAATGAAAAAGAGGGAAAGGTGTAAGAAATTCTCACCATTCTCGGCGGTTGAAGAGCAACTCTTGGATTCTAGGATGCCCAATAAGAAAAATATTCGTTCAGAAATTTTACCGAACACTTGGTGGACATAGCACGAAACACTATGCTAAAAGGATACTTTGTCCTCTGACTACATTTTCTAGTTTCTCCTCATTTTCTACCAAAATTTCCTTTGAAGATGCAAACTGCACTAAAAATATAAAAGTGAAGATCTAAAGTATTACTTGTACAGGTGAATACTTACTGCAATCATGACACTTTCATGGAATATCAACGGAGATATGAACACCCAAAAGATGTCGTAGGCAAAAGCATAAGAGAGGAGTACAGTCGCAACCTATTAAATTAGATGAATAAGAAAATGACAATAATTGTAATTGATGACAAACAGAAAAAATTAAGAAAAGGAAGAATGGTTAATTAACTGTAGATATAAGGATTCCATTTAGCTACCTTAATATTGGGTAATTGAGCCAGCTGCAAGACTGTTATCATCAAACAGATTCCATGTTAAGAACAAAAAATACACTAAGTGAACAGCTATCAGTCAAAGATCAATCACACAGTTACTCATTGGTTTACAGTCTCAAACATGCTAGATAGCAAACAAACTTCCAGTGCAATGCTTCAGAAAGCTCAATAGGAACCAACCAAGATCCCAATGTTGTATTTGGCCCATGTGTGCAGACTCATACAGAGGCATTATTTAAAGATTTGACAATAATAAACTTGACGAGTATGTGTAGGGAAATGGGAATAATGGTCACAAGATTTCCAATTTATAGACTAATGAACAACGCTCAAGTAATCAGGTTGTTAAAATTGTTAAAACTTCAAAGAACGGTGGATGAGGAACCAGTTGTTAAATCAATTGGAAACTTAATAGATGAGCTATAAAGTTTGTTAAACCATGAATTCCTGTTTTGAAACTTTTAATAGGACATGTTCACATATGAGAACTAGGAAAATCCGACTACAAAAACCATTGCAAACTTCTACTCTAGTTTATCATACAAAGCTTCTAGCTTCCTCTCAACTTCAAATGACAGACAGTATTCACAAACAACATTTAAGAAAGGGAATTGACTTTTGTCTGCTAGGCATCTGAACAAAGTAAGATTCAATTTAGACACTGCGGTGATAACAGAATTTAAAGAACTGTAATGAAGATACTAGAATATGAAACTTACAAAACACTCAGATTCAACTCAAACACAACGATACGAAATGCAACGCAGCTCTAGTATATCTTCTTTTCTTCACATAAAGTTCAGTCACTTTATACCAACATGTAGAAAACTGTGACATTAAAGAGAAAGAAAGATGAAATAATTATAACAAAATGAATTTTGATAATAAACAATAATATTGAAAGGAACATATAACTAAAAGAGGCTTAGTTTGCATTTTATATTTTCTGTTTTTGGCCATTTCCCAGTACTGATCATAATCAAGTTCTTGCAGATATAATTATGAATTATATATTTAGAGAAAAACCTATTCTCTCAAAACTCAAGAAACTGTATATAATTCAAAAATGTCACATATTTAGAAATTGTACCATACAAAACCACAATATGTAGTCTTCTTTGCTCATCAAACTCAAGCATATATCATCAATTCCACCACTGCTTCAAAAGTACAATTCTAAAAGCTCTACTTTCTGATACAACTTTAGAATATTTGGAAAAAACCCTAATATTGAGACCCATATGAGATTCATATACTAAGTTCATAGTCACAAATACATTTTTACCCTTCACTTTTTAAATTCTAGTACAACAATATCTTAGTAGCTATAGAAAAATAATATATTCATGTAGGGGCCATGTCTGGTTTTCTCCATCAAAAGAAGAACCTATTGAACTCCCAAATCACACTAGCATTATTCTTCTATTACCATTCATTCCTTCATTCATTCAGTAACATCTACTTTTTTCTTTCCTTTCAATATATCATATCATTTCATACAATACAAACATTACATTACATACATACCCTTTTTCTCAAATGTAATAATTTAATTAAACACTTTGTTATATATTTTATAATATAATATAGTATATCTGATAAATGATAAATGACAATACCTTTTGATCGAAGTAAATTCCTGGTCACTTTCTAAGCTCTCTTTTGTCCCTTCCCTTTCTAAGCTCTCTTTTGTCCCTTCCCTTTTTATGAACACCTCTCTACAGAATCAATTACCTTTAAAACTACAATCAATTTACAAACACATTAAGATGTTTCCTAAAAAAACTATTTCTCTAAGGCTATAAAGCGAGAGACGGACAGTTAAGAAAGGGATGGGAGATAGTGAGAATAGCTAAAAACAAATGCAGTAAAGAATTGTTACATAAGTTTACCTTTTCCGCCGCACCTCCTGCATCCCCCGGAACTGTGTCTCCCGCAACAACCCTCCACTCCACCAGCTTTTGCAAAGACGCAAATGTCATCATCGCCTTCGGCAGATTGCGCAAACCCAAGATCGCACGACATCACCGACAATTCAACCACGACACAAAACCCAGACCTATGGGACTCGATCTCTCATCCGCGACACCATCTCTAAGCGCCATTGATACTGAACCCACCGCGAAGCCCCATCTATTCATCACATAGCCACACCCAAGGCCACCAGAATCTGGATAGGAGGACAACACCGTCGCCGAATCGGGTTTTGATCTAGGGTTCATTATGTTGTTGTTGTTTTAGGTGTGAGGTAAGAGAGACAGAAGATGAGGGAGAGAACACGAAGAAAAAATGTGGAAGGGAATAATGGACGGTGTGGCTTTTATATTTTTTGTTATTCAATTTTCGTTCTAGGCTTTACATCACCATAAACCCGCCCCACTCATCTTGTTCATTTACTCTTTTTTTTTTCTTCCTGCTGGTAATATGTTTGGGCCAGGCCCAATTGCTATCTGCGTACCCTTTTTAATAAGACGTGGCAATAATTGAGAGGATTAGTAATGAAAAATATTTTAAATTTCTGTGTTAGAAAATTTTTTATTTTCTGTTTAATGAAATTTTTTTTAATATATATATATATATATAAATTTTAGAGAAATATTAATAATGTGTTAGAAAAATTCCGGTTTAATTGAAATATATATAAGTTTTAGACTAATATATATATATATATATATATATATATATATATATATATATATATATATATATATATATATATATATATATATATATATATATATATATATATATATATATATATATATATATATATATATATATATATATATATATATATATATATATAATTTTTTATTTTCTGTTTAATTGAAATTTTTTATTTTTAAATTCCTGTGTTAGAAAAATATTTTTTTTTATATATATTAATAATGTTTAGAGAAAAATATTTGTTTTTTAGTGTATAAGTTTTGGAGGGAAGATTGCCATCAAAAATTTGATAATTTTAAAAAAAATTATACAACATTTCAGAAATGTAGCCTTTTATTAGAACTAATGTAACAATCTAAAAACGTCCCCAAAAATATTTTAGGGGACAATTGTCAAACATTGCTAAAGAAATAATATTTTAACGCTCTAAAATCGTCCCCAAAAGCAGTTAAGGGCACAATTAACAACCGTTGGCAAAAAAATAAAAGATTATCGCTCCATAAACGTCCCCAAAAGTATTTTAGGCAACGATTATCAAGGGTTGCAAACATATTTTTGACAAAAATCGTAAATCATTGCCTATATGAATTTAAGGCAACAATTTCTACATGTTACCTAAAAAAGGGTTGCCAAAGACAACAAATGTTGTAGTGTAAGTTAAAAGACTATTAATTAATTGCACATATTCCATATACATTGGAAATAATTCAAATTATATAATGAGTCTCGATACTATATTTATTCACCATATTCATATTGTATTATAGTATAATAGATGTAAACAATTTCAATATTTTTCTTCTTTTTCATCACCAAATTTTAGGTTACTTCATCATTAAGACACTAAGTTAAAAAACTATTAATTAATTACACATATTCCATATACATTGGAAATAATTCAAATTATGTGTTGAGTCTCGATATTATATTTATTTATCATATTTATATTGTATTAAAGTATAATAGATGTAAACAATTTCAATAGTTTCCTTTTTCTTCATCACCAAATTTTAGGTTACTTCATCACTAAGAAACTAAGTTAAAAGACTATTACTTAATGACACATATTCCATATACATTTGAAATAATTCAAATTATATAATGAGTCTCGATAGTACATTTATTCACCATATTCATATTGTATTATCGTATAAGAGATGTAAACAATTTCAGTATTTTCTACTTCTCCATCACCAAATTTTAGGTTACTCCATCACCAAGAAATTACGTTAAAAGACTATTAATTAATGGCACATATTCCATATACATTGGTAATAATTCAAATTATATAATTAGACTCGATAGTATATTCATTCACCATATTCATATTGTATTAAGGTATAATACATGTAAACAATTTCAATATTTTTCTTCTTCTCCATTACCAAATTTTAGGTTACTTCATCACCAAGAAACAAAGTTAAAAGACTATTAATTAATGGCACACAGTCCTTATACATTAGTAATAATTCAAATTATATAATGAGTCTCGATAGTATATTTATTCACCATATTCACATTGTATTATGGTATAATAGATGTAAACAATTTCAATATTTTTCTTCTTCACCATCACCAAATTTTTGGTTACTTTTTAACCAAGAAAATAAGTTAAAAGACTTATAATTAATGACACATATTCCATATACATTGGAAATAATTCAAATTATATATTGAGTCTCGATAGTACATTTATTCACCATATTTATATTGAATTAAGGTATAATAGATGTAAACAATTTCAATAGTTTTCTTTTTCTTCATCACTAAATTTTAAGTTACTTCATCACTAAGAAACTAAGTTAAAAGACTATTACTTAATGACACATATTCCATATACATTTGAAATAATTCAAATTATAACAATATTCACATTGTATTATGGTATAAGAGATGTAAACAATTTCAGTATTTTCTTCTTCTCCATCACCAAATTTTAGGTTACTTCATCACTAAGAAACTAAGTTAAAAGACTATTAATTAATGGCACATATTCCATATACATTGGAAATAATTCAAATTATATAATGAGTCTCGATACTATATTTATTCACCATATTCATATTATATTATAGTATAATAGATGTAAACAATTTCAATATTTTTCTTCTTTTTCATCACCAAATTTTAGGTTACTTCATCATTAAGACACTAAGTTAAAAAACTATTAATTAATTACACATATTCCATATACATTGGAAATAATTCAAATTATGTGTTGATTCTCGATATTAAATTTATTTATCATATTTATATTGTATTAAGGTATAATAGATGTAAACAATTTCAATAGTTTCCTTTTTCTTCATCACCAAATTTTAGGTTACTTCATCACTAAGAAACTAAGTTAAAAGACTATTACTTAATGACACATATTCCATATACATTTGAAATAATTCAAATTATATAATGAGTCTCGATAGTATATTTATTCACCATATTCATATTGTATTATCGTATAATAGATGTAAACAATTTCAGTATTTTCTACTTCTCCATCACCAAATTTTAGGTTACTCCATCACCAAGAAATTACGTTAAAAGACTATTAATTAATGACACATATTCCATATACATTGGTAATAATTCAAATTATATAATGAGACTCGATAGTATATTCATTCACCATATTCATATTGTATTAAGGTATAATACATATAAACAATTTCAATATTTTTCTTCTTCTCCATTACCAAATTTTAGGTTACTTCATCACCAAGAAACAAAGTTAAAAGACTATTAATTAATGGCACACAGTCCTTATACATTAGTAATAATTCAAATTATATAATGAGTCTCGATAGTATATTTATTCACCATATTCACATTGTATTATGGTATAATAGATGTAAACAATTTCAATATTTTTCTTCTTCACCATCACCAAATTTTTGGTTACTTTTTAACCAAGAAAATAAGTTAAAAGACTTATAATTAATGACACATATTCCATATACATTGGAAATAATTCAAATTATATATTGAGTCTCGATAGTACATTTATTCACCATATTTATATTGAATTAAGGTATAATAGATGTAAACAATTTCAATAGTTTTCTTTTTCTTCATCACTAAATTTTAAGTTACTTCATCACTAAGAAACTAAGTTAAAAGACTATTACTTAATGACACATATTCCATATACATTTGAAATAATTCAAATTATAACAATATTCACATTGTATTATGGTATAAGAGATGTAAACAATTTCAGTATTTTCTTCTTCTCCATCACCAAATTTTAGGTTACTTCATCACTAAGAAACTAAGTTAAAAGACTATTAATTAATGGCACATATTCCATATACATTGGAAATAATTCAAATTATATAATGAGTCTCGATACTATATTTATTCACCATATTCATATTGTATTATAGTATAATAGATGTAAACAATTTCAATATTTTTCTTCTTTTTCATCACCAAATTTTAGGTTTCTTCATCATTAAGACACTAAGTTAAAAAACTATTAATTAATTACACATATTCCATATACATTGGAAATAATTCAAATTATGTGTTGAGTCTCGATATTATATTTATTTATCATATTTATATTGTATTAAGGTATAATAGATGTAAACAATTTCAATAGTTTTCTTTTTCTTCATCACCAAATTTTACGTTACTTCATCACTAAGAAACTAAGTTAAAAGACTATTACTTAATGACACATATTCCATATACATTTGAAATAATTCAAATTATATAATGAGTCTCGATAGTATATTTATTCACCATATTCATATTGTATTATCGTATAATAGATGTAAACAATTTTAGTATTTTCTACTTCTCCATCACAAAATTTTAGGTTACTCCATCACCAAGAAATTACGTTAAAAGACTATTAATTAATGGCACATATTCCATATACATTGGTAATAATTCAAATTATATAATGAGACTCAATAGTATATTCATTCACCATATTCATATTGTATTAAGGTATAATACATGTAAACAATTTCAATATTTTTCTTCTTCTCCATTACCAAATTTTAGGTTACTTCATCACCAAGAAACAAAGTTAAAAGAATATTAATTAATGGCACACAGTCCTTATACATTGGTAATAATTCAAATTATATAATGAGTCTCGATAGTATATTTATTCACCATATTCACATTGTATTATGGTATAATAGATGTAAACAATTTCAATATTTTTCTTCTTCACCATCACCAAATTTTTGGTTACTTTTTAACCAAGAAAATAAGTTAAAAGACTTATAATTAATGACACATATTCCATATACATTGGAAACAATTCAAATTATATATTGAGTCTCGATAGTACATTTATTCACCATATTTATATTGAATTAAGGTATAATAGATGTAAACAATTTCAATAGTTTTCTTTTTCTTCATCACTAAATTTTAGGTTACTTCATCACTAAGAAACTAAGTTAAGAGACTAATACTTAATGACACATATTCCATATACATTTGAAATAATTCAAATTATATAATGAGTCTCGATAGTATATTTATTAACCATATTCATATTGAATTATGGTATAATAGATGTAAACAATTTCAGTAT